TGACTGTACTGGCAATGAAAACAGTCGTGGGCTGCGGGGTGACCTGTCCCTGCTGCAGCGTGAGTCCTTCGCAGTCACGTAGCTGCTGTTGCTATGCCAGAAGCGGCTTGGATTTCAGCGTTGTCTGGTCTTGCTGGCCAGTGAGGGATTCCTTTGCCCCTCAAAGGCAGCGGAGCTACCTGCTCCATCCCTGATTGCTTCATCTCTCATTGCTCCCCTGCCAGGAGTAAGATCTATTTTTCTTCCCTGCCACAGACCGTCTGTTAGTAGCACCTTCTCGGAAAGCCTTTGTTTCCCTTGTTACTTGGACAGGAGGTGATTATAGCAGTCTTACATTTTTTTGCCTGGATGCTTCCCAAATAATTTGCTTTTGTAGTGCCAGCATAGGAGTAGCGCTCTCTTCTCAAGGGAAAGGCATCCCTCCCTTGCTCGGCACAGATGAATTCACCTTTCCTCCCAGGGCTGGCAGGTGTGTGATTGCCAAAGGGAGGCCTTTCCCTTCAGCTCTTCTGAATATGACTGCTCCACTGCTTTTTTTTCCCCGTCTAAACTTCCCACCATAAAAATAATTGCCAGTTGTTCAGTAAATTTATCAGCTAATCCTTTTAATTCCACGGTCACATAATCGGAGCCTGCCAATTTGCACAGTGCTGTGTATACTCAGCTCTCCTCTTTTCTCCTGCATGCTCTGACAGCTATACAAGGCCCCTGTGCAGTTCAGCTAAATAATGCCTTTAGACTCGTGCTTTGAAATTCTTTCTTTCTTGGATTTATAGCTGGCGTTTTACTTTATTTCAATCACTTAGCATTGCTATGTTTGGCAAATTGCTTTGCTGGTTTTCATATTCTTAGGTAGCCTAACAGTTCAAGCCGGCTGTGGTCCTGCAATCACTCTGAGCTGAGCAGAGCTGGGCTAAGCTGAGCTGGGCTAAACTGAGCTGGGCTGAGCTGGGTGTGGGGCCCTGAGCAAGTCTCATCTCTCCAACCACACAACCTGCCCCGTGCTGGCACTAGTGCTGAGCCAGATGAACTCCAGCTGGGAAACCGATCCCACTGTGAAATAGCCTCACCAAAAAAAAAAAATGATTAGCTTTAGACAGGCTACTTTATCAACACCACTCACCGCCAGACTGATGGAGCTCTAGTGCTGCGCATGGGAGAGGGTTAAGTATGTGGTTTAGGGTACAACTACGTGGACCTTCCAGGAACATCGGGTTACAGTGATGGTCTCCCAGTCACCGCTGCAGTGATGTGGTGGCACATCTGTGGCTGTCACCACGCTGCCTCTGCCCCATCACCACGCTCCACACCTGCTGCATCGCCTCAGTGTCCACCTGGACGTTTTGCTGAGGGGGTTTCTGTGCATGCAGTTGTTGGAAAACCAGTGGAGCCAGCGCAAAGGTGAGGACATGGCCAGGGCAGGACAGGGCTGTGGGGTGCGGCAGGAGAAGCATTTTGTGCTGCAGCAGTGGGTGGTGGGAGCAGCAGCACTCCTCCCTTAGGGCTGTAGTAACCATGAGATCGGCTCAGCTGCAGCACCCAGCACCCTGTACTCGGTCAGCACTGGGCTATGGTTCATGAGGGGGGTGGTAGTCCAGCTGCTGGGAGCTAAATTTGTCAGGTCACACAAGGAGATGTGTTGGGAAACACATCAGAGCGCCTTGCAGCCCAGGCTCCACCTCTGCGATATGAACTGTGCCTCGTTGCCACAGGAGGATACGCTGGGAGAGCAACAATTTTAACTGGTCACATAAAGAAAAAGCCCAAGATTTGGCACAGGAGGGACAGAACACTGTTTTCAAACCATGCAGAAAAGCAGCACTGGTGTCATCTGGCAGAGCTCGCTCGCACGCTGCTGTTTCAACAGGCAGTGGTGATCCCTGCAGCTCTGGGGCTTGCGGTTCACAGCGATTTCCTACTCCCTGTGCACGGGGACAAGCCGATGTCTTTTCAGGACAACAAATAAGTGGCAGCAACTGATAAAAGGCTAAGTGCCCTGTGTGATACACAAAGCTCACTGCACCTGTGATCTTCCTTTGAGGACCCCCAAAGGACCCCAACTTACCCACACTCCCCTTTCCAAAGCGGTGTGCTGCCCACCCCAGCTTCCGACGGCCGCCAGTCGGGAACTGCGCTTGTTCTCAGGGTGTCAGCCGCCTTCTGAGAGTACACGTACCATCTCTTCACCCCTGGGGACTGCTCAAATCACATGCAGCTTCTCAGTGGCTGGTAGATCATGAAACCATCAATTAAATAGATGCCTTCAGCTGTAATTCCAGGTCTGCCTCATGTCGCTTCCCTTTGCTCCATTAACAAAGGGATTTTTTTGCTCTGGTAACATCTCCAGAATCAGCCCTCTGATGGGCAGCAGTCTGGGTGCTCCTCACCTCCTTTCAGTGAGGGATTTTTTTGCCAAAGTCAGTCAGGCTGAACTCGGTGGCGACACACCGCCCTTTGAAAGCTGGGAACCCCACCATGCCACTGCCGTAACTTAAGGAACGACAAAGCAGACAGCCAGGTTGCTGCAAGGAAACATTAGCTGTCAGCTGATTAATAGCATAGCAATTACAGCAAAACCCTTTGGAAGATTTTTAACTCGGGAGGATACTTGTGCCTGGTTTGAAGCAAATGAACAATGTCCTCACATGATGCTGTCTGCCTGCTCCACTCAGCACAGGAGTTACGAGAGTAGAGGAAAAGGCCTGTGTGAGCTCCGGGCACAGGCAGCGGAGAAACTTGCTTGGCACTTCTGAAAGGCAGAAGCACAGCTCTGCTGGCAGCAGCAAACAGCCGGAGATGTGTCCCGGCAGCCTCGACAGCCGATTCGGAGCACAACGCGTGAGTGCCGCTCTTGTTTTGCATAGCAGCACGCCAGCAGCCAGAACTGTTCCCCTGGATGATTCTATTTACTGTGGAGGAAGGAAAAACACCTTGCTTTGTTTGTGTTTCAGCCTCAGAAATGCTATGCTCTGTAGAAATGATAAAAATAACACATTTAACAATTGTATTTTTTTCCACTGTATTGGTGAACGCTGCTGAGCATGCTGTAACAGCACCTGAATTACAGTGTGCCTTAACGAGCGCTCCTCAGGGGTTGGGTGGCTGCATCCAGGCCGTAACGGCCCAGGGAAGCGTCCTGCAGACCTCCATGTCCGAGGGAAGCACAGCGTGGGCAGGGGGCTGGACACCGGCACGGCTGTGGTGTGACGGCCTCTGCACGGTGGGATGTCTCCCAGCTCTCCGGGGCACATGCTGGCTGCCTTAGCAGGCGACAAGGTGACTCCTTGAAAGGCCTTGCTGGGTAAATCCTTACACACCCGAGCATGATTTGGTGCAAACCTGTAATGGGTGAGATGGGCATAAATGGGAGATACAGTAGGGTAGATGGCGACAGGAAAGGATGTTAAGAGCCTAGATACAAATGAGTCCTTGGACAGTGCTGAAATCTGTAGATGTACTCCCTGGCTTGAGCGCTGTGCCCTCTTGAAACACCACAAATGACAATGAAGTCAGGCAGAGGAGAGGAAGCCAGCACAGCTCTGGGGGATTAAAGCAGTACCTCTGGGATGAAAGAGATATCCGACTTCAAATAAAACCGAACGCGCACTGCGCAGTTGCCATCATTCTTCCGCAGGGCTGCGAAACCGGGCTGCCACGCGCATGCCATGTCAAACTGACTCTGCAGGCACCAACCTGGCACCCTGCTCGTGTGGGTAACACGGTGAAAGGAAATCCCGGCGCTCCAAGCACTGAAGCAACAGTGCTGGGAGCGTGGTCGGGCGCCTGGTGAAGACACCGGTGACGGGCCAGCGGGCAGCCGGCGGTGGATGGTGTTCAAGGTGTCTCCAGAAACCTTCCGGTGCCCTGCTGTCCCAGCTGGTGGGGTGCGGCGAGTTTCTGGAAGCTGCTGAGTGGTTTTGGAGGGCGATTTCGCCGGGATCCGAGAGTGGACTGGCACGGGAACTGGCTGCAGGAGGGACGGGAGCCAACCTTTCGGCAACACAGTCCCCGCAGGGAAACTGGACCCTCTGCCGAGCCGGAGGTATGCGCCAGCTGTTCACAGCTCCTTCCTCCTCCATTTTTCACAGCTTAAGCATTTGCCTGGCACCTCCATTCACTCAGACGGCAAGCCTTCTCGCTTTCTGATCCCTTCCCCATTTCCAAAACTGTTTTTTAGCATCTTGGAAAAGTGATTTTACATCTGTCCGGGTGACCTTTCCTTACCTCCCCCCCCCTTACACCTTCTTAGTCAGGGAGAGGGGTCACCTCCTCAACTTTTCAGTACTCGCGTTCTCCAGATCGCCCAGATCTGGGCTGCTTCTCTGAAGGTGGATGCCATCTTTGTTTCACTTCATTAAAATGCACTGTTGACACTCTTTCCACATTTCCATTTTGCCCGCTTAGAAATAACTGCTCCTTTATTTGCAACAGCATAAATCGGAGCTTGTCTGGACGGCTGGCTCCCCGCACCCCGGGCTGGGAGGGCAGGCCTCTGAGGCCGGCCGGCCGCTGGCAGGCGGCGGCGGCTGGGGAGCCGTGATGGCTGCCGCCCCACAACCACAGCCGGCCCCTCAAGGGGTGCGCCCCTCGCCATTTCCCACACCCGGCGAGGAAAGCAGCGCCGAGCCCCGGCTCCGCAACGGCCCGGGGGCTGCTGCCGGTGACCACCCGAACCCACGGCCGCGCTCCCCTCAGCACTCTGGGTTCTCTCAACGACCGCCCCCCCCCCCCCTTCTAGACGCTTCCGCGCCCCCCGCCGCCTCGGCGGCTCTTCCGCCCGGCGGCCCCCCCCCTCCCTCCGCTTCCCGGCCGCGCATGCGCAGTGCGGCGGCGGCGGCGGCGGGGGGAGGCAGCGCGGCGGCGGGTCCCTCCGCGCAGGCGCGCGGGGCCCGCCCGCTGGGCTGTTCCCTCGCCGCGTCTCCCCGCCCGCCGGGACGCATGCGCGGGCCGGAGGCGCCGGGGCTCTGGGCTGCGCCCCCCCCTCCCGCGGCGGCCGCGCAGGCGCAGAGCGGTCACGGAGGGGGCGGTCGGGCGCGTTCCGTTGGCGGCAGCCGGTTCCTGTCAGCGGCGGCGGGTGGCGGTGCCCGGTCCCGACGGCGAGCGGAGCCCCCGGCCTGGCCCGACCCGGCCTGATTGGCGGCCCGGACGTGCGGAGCGCCGAGCTCTCGCCTGCCGGTGTCTCCCCTCCGCACCCCGGGGCGGCGGAGGCAGCAGCGCCCTCCTCCCGGCCCGGCCCCCTCCTCCCGCCGCTCCCCTCGCCCCTGCCGGGCCGCGGAGCTGCGATGCCCTCGGACTTCATCTCTCTGCTCAGCGCCGACCTCGACCTCGAGTCCCCCAAGTCCCTCTACTCCAAGGGTGAGTGTGGCACCGGGCCGGGGAGGCGGGGCCCCGGGGGATTGGGGGGGGGGAGCGTCCCCGCGCCGTTAACCGTGGCTAACGGCCGGCCCTGCTGCCCGGTGTCCGTGTCCCCCCCCCCCCCCCCCCCCCCCCGCGTTTTCCTCCTCTCTGAGGGGAGCTTCGCCCGCCCCGAGGCCTCGCCGCCCGTGGGCCGCACCGGGATGCTCGGCCGCCGGCGCCCCGCCGCGAAGGGGCCCCGTGGGCCGCGCTGGGGCCGTGCCCGGCTCCCCCGGCCGCATTCCTGGCCCGGCCGCGGCGGCCTCAAGAATGTGTCCCGACAGGTTCCTGCCCTCGGGGCCCGGCGGCGGCCCCCGCGGGAGCGGCGGGGGGCTGCGCGGCCGCCCCGCAGGGCTCCCTGCCTGCCTGCCTGCCGGTACCGGTACCGGTACCGGGCCCGGAGCGCGGCCGCGGCCCCGCTCGCCGCCCCGTCCCCTCGCCGTTCGGCGGCGCATCCGCGGCGATGCGGGCCGAGCCCCGGTGGAGCCCGGGGGCGGGCGCTTCGGCCTGGAGCTGGGAGCGCGAAGTAACGGGGCTGGGGGAATAGGGGCGGCTCGAGCTCGCTCGAAAGCTGCTCCTTAAGTTTCGGGAAAAAGGGTCGGAGTGGAAGCAGTGGCCTCGGAGGGGACGGTCAGATTTGGGTTAGAAATTGGCAAAGAGCCCGGGAAGCGGCGAGTTTCCAGCACGGTGGTGGGTCACGGTACCGGGGAGTTGAGACCCTCTCCAGGTGTTCAGTGGGTGCATGGGGGGGCTGGGGGGAATCAGGGGGTGAAGTGGCGGCACCGAGGCAGGGGGAGGCAGGGAACGCTGAACGCCTGCTCTCCTAATACCTGCGTCCGAGTTTTGACAAGTCCACAATAATAAGGGTAGGTGTGTTAGGGCAAATGTTACACACTACACAAGTTCTTAACTCGTTTTTTCCTACTTAAAAGCCTGGAAAGTCACTGTTAGTAGCTCGTTGGACGTATCTGCCCGCAGGATGTCAGAGGGGGAGCAATTCTGGGGGTGTATGACAAATGGAAAGTCTTCTGTTACCCTGAAGGGAAGGTAGCTGATCAGAGTTTAATATTATTACAGAATTTTGGTTTTAGAATTTTTAGAACTAACTGTAATATACTCATTAATTCTGAGTTATGTGTCATTAGTGCCGAAGCGAAAAGAAATAAAAATACTTTAACAAATCAAAGCACATCTTTAAAGCTCTCAAACTACTCTAAATCATTGTCTCTCTGTTTAGAGATCTTAAAGTTATCACCAGTGTATAATAGTCTGTAAATTTCTTTAAAGATGTTACGACAGAGGTTTAAGGCTCTCCTATTACCTAACATACACGTATTCCAACTGGTTTCAGTCCTAGTGAGGGCAATACAAGAGAAAGAGCATTTTGAAACCAGGCAGTTCTAAATAAAAAAATACAGGTGATAAAACTTCATCAAAATTATCATTTATTGTACTGGAAATTTGAAAAGCGTGCACTGTTAAAGAATTTGTAAAATGTTTAAAACAAAAAGGCTCCACATAAATTGTGAAATTTCTTCAAGGGCTCATGCTTAATCGAGCAGAACTTGTACGCTCACCAATCTTACTATGAGTTCTCAAATTTTGTTATATTGAATGGAATGGTCGAGTGTCTGTTTCAGGTAGGAAAAGGATCTTAAAGTGGTTAATTAAGAGTGTATATTTTTCTTCCCCTGGCGTTGATGTGGGTTCAGAGCTAGAAAAGGTCCAGAGAAGGATGTTTGATGCTTAGGAGTGGCCGTAATGGGCTTCTTAAGCCAAACAAGACGGCATATGAAAGAGGTGTATAAAGCAGTGAATGGTTATAAAGAAGTTAAAGCAAGGCTGGCTGTTCATATTTTGTCATAATAAAAGATCAAGGAGATGTTGAAATGCAAATTAATTTAAAATTTAGAACAAATGAACCTACTTCTACAGAATGAATAATTAAGCGATCCTCTTTGCTATGAGGTATATTAGTATGATTTTTGGATGGATTTAGGAAAAGGTAATAGTGGTTATCTGATTAGTCAGAACACACTTCAGTGTGCCTTTTTTTTTTTTCCTAGATAGATATGGATAAACTTATCTTGTGGACAAGTGCTCTGGATCAGAGTGTGAATACAACTGATGAGATAAAGAGAAAGGTCTGAACACAGTGAGAAAGCCACAAATATGCATTTGTGATGAGGGTGTGTTAGGAGCATGTAGTTTCTCATGACTGCTCTCCTTTTAGAAATGCAGCTACCCCGCAGTTTGGAATCCAACTCGGATTGAACTGGGGCCAGTAACTTTTCCTCTGAATTGCATTCCTCTGTGCGCGTTGGGATGGTTGTGGTTTAATGATACTGGTCTTGTAAGTTTGTTGATGATGATCATTGTAGTGTTTTGGAAATACAAAGATGATGAAAGTGAGAGAAGCTGGAAGATTGAGGTGGTCTTGGGAGTAACTGAGGCTTTCTAACATACGAACTTTAGTTTATTGAAATTAAAGTGGAATAGTCTGAGTGTGCTGATTAAAAATTACTTGCCTGCTTTGAAAAGTGAAGTTACGTTTGAAAACCTGGTGAATCAAGATGTAACTTATGCTAGTGCAATTGTTTATAGTATAGTTTGTCCTGTTCCCTGGACAGACCGAGTTACATTATCAATTTGTCCCCACTCTATGCGTTAAAATTTTGGCTTGTGTGGCCATTTCAGTTAAGGTTTTTGGTGTTCGTATTCCTTTAAAAATGTTAAGCAAAACTTCTAAAAGCACACAGACCTGAGGTGAAATGGCAATACGGACAAAGGGAGAGTTGTTAATTTAAAATTTGATCTGATAATTCATTTGAGTTATTTCTTTTAATTTATGCGTAGCTTGGGAAAGAGAATATTTTTCTTTGAGTATCTAAATACTTTATCTTCCAGTTTTTGCTCTTGTAGGTGTGGCTGCATGAGCAGTTCCAGCCAGTATGAATTCCCACCTGCTGAGTTAAAGCCGTCTTGTCCCCTGTCTTTTCCTTGCTGCTCTGCTCATGCCAACACTTAGGTGGCCACTCAGTGAACTGGGTTGGGGAACCAATCATGTTAGAATGAACTCAGCTTTTCCCTTATTCCTTCTCACCCTTCCCCAGAACAATAAAAAGGAAAAGGGGAAGAGAAATGTTGATTTTTAACTTGGTGAGTGTCCTGGTCATGTTTGCTGTGGGTCTTTGTGAATGGCTTGCGCTGACTCAAGGAAAGGACATGTAAAAACTAGCAGTGGGGAAGGGTGGGACTATTTCTTTCAGCAGCAGTGCCAGCTTATATTGGCTTAAAATGATAGTGAAACTGTACTTAAGTTGCAGGCCTCTGGAATATGACTGGTTACAGCTGGTAAAAATAAAAGAAATGCAAACTGTTGATTCCGAGGCCTGTGGCTGAGGCTCATCCCCACAGCTCCTGAGGAACTGACCTGTGCTGAGGACTAAACCCCATCTTTAATGTGGAATCAATATTAAAAAAAAAGTATATGCTACGTAGCCATTGCAAAAGGATGGTATCTCCTAATAAGACGGTAAGAGGGATATTAAAAAAAGTACGCATTTTTCTGTTGAAAATGTTTAGAATGTAATAGGCTTAATTCCCGTCTTTACATAACAAACCGTCCTATTTGAAATAAAACAACCCAAATGTGCATACGGATTAGTAATGTAGTAGAAAAATCATTGGAGCATAAAACCTAAAACCTTGAGGCTAGTTGTTCTGTGGTTGAATATCATATGCAACATTCAAATATAGCAAAGTTTGCTATTCATTCTAAACAGGCAGAGATGAAGAACTGTGATTAAAGCAGTTCATCACATGTCAGGTACTAAATCTGGTTACATGTGTGATTAGTTTAGCTAATACATTAATTTTGAACAATTACAAAGTAACATGTGTGTACTAATAAAGTTGCATTTTTGCACCCTAGCCAGTACAATCAGAACTTTTTATTCATCCCCCTCCCACCAATTTTACTTTACACAGCTGAATAACTAAATACGTGAGGCTTTCTGGAACTTGGAAGCAACAAGAAAAATGTTAGTAGTCTCCTGCGTAGCTCTTTTGCCCTAAAAATGTCATGTAGTCAAAACTCAATTTTCTTCCATACTTAAATGACGATAACCTACTTGCGTTTACTGAGAACTGTTGATACAACTCACGGTTTTTGGTGGTTTTTGTCTTTATTTTCCATGATTAAAGGGTTAACTCTAGTAAGGCAGTGACTGAATTGTCAGAGAGGGATGGAACAGATGCTTTATAAAAGTAGTGAGAGCCTGCTTTTAGTTTTGAACTTTAGAACTAGTATTATCAGTTTTTAGGAATAGAAATAATACTTAGCTTCTCTTTGTAGCTCATAGAAGGTGCCGTGCTGGACAAGCAGTGCCGAGGGTTACGTGAGGGACGCGCTGTGTCCATCCACCTCTTGCAGCTCTTCCAGCTGCCCCCGGGACATTCTGACTTATGTCAACCGAAAGGGATTCTACCAAAGTACCTTAAATTCTGCGTCACCCTTGTAAATGTCCACTTCTGTTTTGAATCTTAGCAGTTTATTGATTTTTAAAAGCAAAACTGGGGAATATGTTGCTGCAAGATGATTATGTGTGGTGCTGGGGGTAAGGGGGAGGATTTTGAATTCACAGTTTCTCACAGTGTAATTTGAATATTCCAGTGACAGAGCTGTTTAAACAGACCATTTTCCCTGCCGTCTGTTCTCACCCATGTACTGTTCTCTGAATTGTGCCAGCACAATTGTTTTTTGTGGCTGCAAGATGAATGGGATTGGGAAACCAATCTAGAATGAGTATATTGTACTTTTGATAGGATTTTCTAACATTGTATTGCTCCTCGGTCCAGTTTTCCGTGCAGCTGCACAAGTAGTGGTGGCAGGACGAGAAAGGGGGTATCGAGGCCTGGGATTAAACGGTGGAGGAGGTAGCAGGTGAGGTAAAACTGCT